GTAGTGAGGGAAAACTGTGTAGATTACAGAAAATTGAACCAAGTAGCCATAAAGACCTGCCACCTACTCCTTCGTACTGCTGGCGTCCTCGCCTCGCTTGGAGGATCAAGGTATTTCACATGTTTGGACCTAAAAAGTGGCTATTGACTAGCTGCTATGAATCCTGATTCTATTGGCAAACCTGCTTTTACTTGTTTTCTAGGTTTTGTATTCCTTTTCTGTCCTCCCGTTTCGTCTGCGCAACGCCGTAGGATTATTTTCTGATCTTATGAACAAAGTTTTGGCAGGTACAACATGTGCATTTGCCTTTGCATTTGCATGTGCATTTGCAACATGTACAACATTTGCAGTGGCGCACTTGATGATCTAACTTCTAAAAAACATTCGAAGAACATCTTGGTCACATCGAAACAGTTATTAAATATTTACGCAGTGCAGGCTTCAACCTCAAAATGTCAACACGCGAGTTTCTGAAACAGGAAATTAAATATTTAGGTCATGTAAGTTGCCTAAGTGTGATCAACCCAGATCCTGGTGAAGCAGATGCCATTAGAGACCTGAATCATCCCTGCGATTTGAAAGGTTTTTGCTTGCTGCTTGGCATGTGCTCGTATTATCATCACTTTATTCCAAATTTTGAGAAAATTGCAAAACCTCCCATGGAACTAACGAAGAAAAACAACCCCTTTTATTCGAATAAAGCATGTCAAAAAGCGTTTGAAAATCTTTGCAAAGCCCTCATTCCAACTCCTGTGCTAGCTTACTCAGACACCTCAAAGACATATAAACTTTACACTGATGCGTAAAACCACGCCACTGGTGCTGCTTTTGTGCAAGACGCAAAACAAGGTCAAAACCTGGTGCAGTATCTCTCTCCCAACAATCAAATGCTACACAACAACGATAGCCTGTCATCGAAAAAGAAGCAACACCATTGCTTACGGCATTCAAAGTTGAGATACTATCTTCTTGGCTCAATATTTACTGTCAGGACGGACCACAAACCCTTAAACACCTTCTTACCAGCGAAATGAAAAAAGCAAGAATCCAACGCTGGGCCATCATTCTCGACGAGTATGGTTGCGATGTCCAGTACATTGCAGGCAAACAAAACGTTCTTGCCCGATGCCCTCTTACGCCTCGAACCACCATCAGACGTTAAGATTATAGACCCCGACCAGACACCTAGGGCGTTGAACTCCGAAGTGGCGAAACCCCCAGGAGAAGAGGTGCATCATTAGAAAAAACACTGCCCAGAATTTCTGTCAAACAATCCCGATTTTAAGAGTCTGCAGGAAAATGACACGGATACCATGATTCATAATATGCTCGCCGGATGTGCTGTACGGTGGCGAGATCTCAGGTGGTTGGATATGAACACGTGGGTCCGGGCTGGATCCTGGGCAGGGCTGACTGGCGGGCTGCACCCAGTCGCCCGATCAGGTGAAGCGGCCTAATGGTGGTGCTGCGGAAGGTGAGCAGGCACTGTCTTGTTCAAACCCTGAGGCAGTATTGGTTTGATGCACCTCGGCCGCATGTTGAGGCGACAAGGAGCGCTCTGGAATAGCAGCTGCGATAGTAGGCACTGCGACCACTGTTTGAACAGGAAGGGATGGTGTCCTTCGTGGAGTACGTATGAAGTCGTTGAGTTCGATCAATGCAGCTCTAATGCCCGACAGACGGAAGCGTTTGCATCATCTTCTTTAGAGAGGTGCTGTGCCGCTCGAGATCGATTAGTACATGGGGTGCCAGGGATCGACGAGAGCTAACTGGGCGGAGACCCGTGCCTCGAAGGTATATAACGTCGACAGGATGGGGCGCTGTAATAAGCCGCCTAGCTTTGGTAAGGGTTAGTGATCTTCTCATGTAAAGTAAGTCGTGCAATGCTTGTCGCACCCGGCCGCCGTCCCGCGCCGCGCTGCCCGGTCGCCGTGCCGCCCCGCACCACGCCCGGCCGCCGAGCCGCGTCGCGCCAGCACTTCTCACCGGCCGTTCGCGCACCGAGTGAGAACCCACCCGGACTGTCATCAGAAGAGGGCACGTACTCGGACACAGCCCTGCCGTTCAGGCTGTGCACTGACAATTAGTCTGCACTGAAGAGATCAAGGGTGCAAGCCTACAATGGAGTGTGTCCAGTTATTACAATTAACCACTTAATGTAGTAATTCTCATAAGCAAACACGCTTGACATTATGTCTCATTACCGTTGGTGCGTCGATTTGTATGTTAATGTGCTTCATGCGGCCTCATCACGATGGAAAAGGAACTATAACTTGTTGACGTTTTGCATTGATATGACACGAAGCTGACTCCACGGTGTCAATTGGTACGCACTCGATGCAGTCCGCTGTCAAGTGCAACAAGTGTCACCGTCTGACCAGGCAGTTAGACTGAAATTGAAGATAGAGCGAGTTTTACATCATAATGATGTCATTTAAAGGTGTGTAGTGTTTTATGTGAACTTCATGGACGTGTATCGAATGCGCAGTTGTCGTTAGTTGTCATAAGTGTGTCATTACCCATTACAACGTGCACTGATTTTATGCTGGCATTGAACAATGATAGCGACGTACATTTTAAACATTAAGTCAAAATTTCATCGCAGGAGGCTCGTACTGTGATCTTACAACGTAATACTTCTCAGCAGTAAATATCTCCAGAATTATATAAAGCTCCAGATGCCTACGGACGTCAGGTCTCTAGAACTCACAAGTCTCTAGAATAAAAATCCTAGGAGACATGTAAAAGTTTTGGTAAAGAGCGCTCCCACCACATGTCATCTGTTAAGTCGGAACCTGAACTAGATCTGCTTTCCGTAATACTATTCGATGTCTTCTTCAAAAGTCGCATCCAGTGCCTCACCCCCTCCCAATTGCATCAGATAGTTCTGGGATCGCAAGGCGATACCCTGTTTCTTGACTGGTTTAGCCAACCATCCAACGACGCCGTACCTGCTTCTGATTTGCTAGCTATGACATCATTTCTGGACCCCACGGCCATGGATCATTCCCGACGCGCACAGTATATAAGCCGTACCATTAGTGCCCATGCAGGTCCATACTCTTCCTGGGCTTAAGGCGAGACATTTGTTGGTTGTGTGGGTGGACGTTGTGATGTGAGTGTTAGTGCGTGTGACTAGAAACAGAAGCTGTGTTTCACGAGATCTCTCTTCGACGGACGCGCGGGGCATACTGGCACGAGCAAGGCATACACTAGTATAAGTATCACGCCAGCAGTCAGAAATCTGTCACACGGGTATTTTGGATGTTAGAGCCTTTGGGTTTGTCTCGAGCACGACATATACATCGAGTGTGGCCTATTTTTGTGTAAATGGCGCCAATGGGAAGCCCATCACTCGTTCGTTGATAGCGTGAACGTGCATGATATTGCTTGTTTTGCTATCCATTTCGAGGTACATGCCCTCGATTTTGCGAACCTTTTGGCAGGTATGGATGCGAATTCTGTTTTGAAACTGATGCCTGTTTTCTGGTCCTGTCTAACTTAGAGCTTAGCTCTTCAAGCAACACCCCCAATTTTTAAACTTGTCAAAACCACGTACGGTGTGGCCTCTGTCGATATCCATGGGTTCCTCAGTGGGGGTATGCCTCCTCCACACATTTCACCAACCCCTTTTTTGGGTCACCAATCCCTTTTTATTGGGGTTGGGGTTGGGGTATTTAAACCCCTCATTTGGCCACCAACCCCTTTTTACATCATCGGTAAGTACGGACACAGGACGGATTTTGTTGACTTTTGCACAATGTGCAAGGGAATGCACAGTAGTAAAGTGGTGCTATGGCGGGCTCTGTTATGAACTTCGGCATCGGATATCTTTTGTGTTGTTCTGGCAGCCCTACCCTTTGCTTGCAATACAACAAGTTGAATCCTCCATTTTTGACTTTTCGCGCAACGACGAACTGAGTGAGACATTCAATAATGTATTTCCATATCTAACTTGATTTGACCCTTTGTAAAGCTCTGGAAGTTTAACTCTAAGCGCTTGTTAAAATCTGCCCAGCTCGTTATTTGAAGAGTCATTGACCAGCTGGATACGAGGCTTTAGCGAAATCGTAGTAGTCGTCGAGTTCTGCTGAAGGTGAATTCCAAACCAACTTTGCGGACATGTGATACTGGATGTTTTAACCTTCAGGATAGCGTTGGCTCTTCGCGTGACCCAAGGCGCAATCATGTTCGGATTCCACAGGACTCAGTTACGCCATGCAGACGATTTTTGGTTCAGCCAATCTCAGACTAAGGCGAAGAGTCTACTAGCCGCCTGAGGTTAGATACAGATGAAGCTAACACACGCAATACATGACGTGGACGGAGGCTCGCAAATAATACCACATATAATCATTTTGGTTTGTTGTAATCTATTTGGTTCGGTTATTACGATATGTTGAGTCTCGCGCGATGAGTGTGACTCGCGCTGATGAGTGTCACCACCAACCCACCCGCCCAGAGGAGGTCCTGGCCAAATTGCAGGAAACTATGCAATACGGTAGTATAAAATTTCTGCAGGCGTGTTCCTACAGTGGTCTTGATTTGATTCGTGTGTACTTTTGTGTTTTGAGCAATGCCGAGGTTATACCGTTTCGCAAATTCAAAAGTGCCGTGCCGCCGCCCGTTGTCGGTGGACTCCTACGCTGCCTTGGGTCGCGAACGGTGCCAGTAGAACGCTGGGCTGTCTGTTCTAATACATCACTCACACATACAAGTGCAGGGTATACAAGATTACATAATTTTAGGTATGAAACGATAAGCATTCGATGCAACAATACCTGTCACACAACGTTGTGCAACAGAAATGCTGAATACACGATTTCGGTGTCAAAACACCCGCATAGAATGACATAGAAAATACCAAAAATATGAGCGCGATTGTATGTCATGCGAGGTAGAAATAACAAGGGAGCCTTTGAGCTAGGATTTTCAGCTGCCGCTGGCCCCAACAGAGCTAACACGTCGAGGGTTGACAAGTGATGCCACAAAATGCTTACCTTTTCAAGTCCGAAAAGAAAATCTCAATGTTCTTCGCGAAGATCGAGTAGTCGGCTCCCAGGGCTGTGCTTGTTCCCCGGCATTTGTCGGCAAAAGTGTGGAACAGGTTGTCTCCATCAATAACCAGGTCACAGTGACGTAATCGTTCTTCATGGAAAAGGCGCCTTCGCAGCACAAATGACGTCAGACCGCGGATGCCCATCCTGCGCCTGCAACGAGGCATAACAGTTAGCAGACAAGGAGGGAGGGAAGTACGTACTGAATAAGCTATACGACGAATGAGGACATGATCTGTTTTAAATCTATCCAAGTGTCAAAACTATTGTCGGCACGTGTGAAGCAAGTCCACCTTTCAACGTAGATAAGCCATAATAGCTGAACATAGCTGCCCATTGTAAGTAGAAAAAAAATATAGAAATATGATTGCGTTCTGGGGATAACGCAGGCAAACAATGTTTCCCATTAACCCAGAAAGTGAGCTTTTCCGGTCTAAATAACACTAGGGAGAGAAACGCTGTTTCTCAAAATGGTTTTCTCAGGATTTAAGGGCAAGTCTGCAATCAGGACTTTATTCGAAAATCATACGCCGAAACGCAACACTTTGCGTGGTGAGTAGCTTAACACAGTGTTATACAGCGAGCAACTAAGTTCTGATTAGTACAGGCGTATCTTGGTAAACTTCTCCTTATTCTGGCGCGCTTCACCCATAATAGATAGGTCATGATAGTTAATGACGCATGCTGCACGTTTCATAAAGCTACGCGCATGTGTCTTGGCAGAATCGTTAACATTGACAAAGGACCTACGCGAAAAGGATCTATATGTACCAAATGCATTGAGTTCTAAATAGCGTTCGTCACGCAGGAAAAGTGATTCCAAAAAGCTGTAGCTGATGCAGCCAAGAAACAAGAGGTAGTCGGTTAATCAAGGTTTTATACTGTCATTCCGTTTAAAATCCTTTTTAATAAAACCTCGGTTGTTACGAGGCAGTATATTATTACAATCAATATAGTATTTTCGAGAAACTAAGCGCTCTAAGAAAGGTAAAAGTGGCGATGCTAATGTCCACTTCTGCAACGAATCTATCTTCCCCAAATTTACCTTATTTTTTCAAAGCGAATGGCAAAGTAAGGTGGGTAGGGTGGGTAAGGGTAAAGTCAATTGGGCAACCTGAAATCCTTCTTGGTCAGAAGAATTGTCATCTCTTCGCCCCAAAAATTAGAGACGCTTCCTAGTTATAGCTGAATACATGGATTGGTAAAGATTGTTAATAATGTTGCAGTAAATAGCGTAGGATAATACAAAGCACCGTACTTTCATTAACGAGCGCCCAGGTGGCCGGCCAGATAGGCTTCGCTCGGGCGGGGGAGTCAACTTAACACCCGATCTCGTCAACTAAGGAAGCTAGAGACACCAAAGTTACAGAGTGTGTTGACCTAAACGTAAACTCACTTAGGTCAAATTTCCACGTTCCTAGATTATGACTTTCAGGTTAAAAAAGTCAAACAAGGTCAAGTTCCAGGTTGGTCTCCAAAGTGGCCCTAGAACCAAGACGACCGTTTCTAAGCAGAAGGTCACACGCTCATTCTAGGTCAATGATCTTGTTTGACCTTTTGAAGGTCAAGGTTACCAAAATCATGCAAGATTGCTTTGAATTTTGCATTTGACTTATCGGCAAAGATAATGCTAGGCAGTATGTTCCTAAAACAAAATGTCGACATGGGTCGTTGTAGGTCAATGACCTATTCTGACCTCCAAAAAGCCCATGGAAGATGCATAATGCAGTTCTTGCCATCAATAAATTCGAAATGAGCACCAGAAACTGTCCCATACAGCAATCCCTAGAGTAAAAAAACAGGTTGATTTCGTCCTTGGTTTGACCTTTATACCCGACCTTAGGTCAATGTAATTTGCTCAATCAACTGTCGCGTTGTCTAAGAGAGCATCTCAGAGATGTATGGCTTCGTGTAACACTCCGTTGTTGGATCATATTGAAGGATTACCTAGAAATTGCCTTCGCTGAAACCATGGCCTGACTTTAACCTGTCACATGTCAGTGACATTACAAGGTGCACCTAAACTTTTGATGTCCAACGATTCGCTATTCAATTGTCTACAGTTATGAAAGATTTGGCGCGGCTACGCCGCGCCGTTCGGAAAGCATTCCGGAAAAACCTTCGGGAGGGTAAATTTGACTTCCACCCGAGCGCGTGTTAAAAGCATCATATCGTGGACTGAGACGCGTAATCGGGCCCACTAAGCATCAGTATTAAGCTCGAGGTACTTTCTCGCATTGAATGATAATCTGTGAACCCATTGAGGGTGCTTTTAGGGTCGAAAATTGTCAAAATATGTAGTATACGACAGTAGTAATAGACTTACTTGACAGGGGAAAACCAGAAGACTGCAGATATAGATGGGTTGATATTTCGGCAACATGCCTTTATCAAAACAACAGCAGAAGAACCTCCGAAAGAATGCATTTCATAAAGGGGGTACAAAGAGCATATCTTCGGAAGTTCTTCTCCTTTTGTTTCGACAAGGGCATGCTGTCGAAATATTAACGCATCCATATCTCCATTCTGCTGCTTGTTCTCCGAGGAATAAGGGTATTAACACTGTCTTATCTATGTAAATAACGTTCTTCGCAAATGCATTGAACAGCTTAGGTAAAAGATGTAGTATATGAAAAAGAGCTTTTGCCCTACCCGGAACAAATCGTCCGGGCACTGATGCAAAGCCCACCTTCCTTGTGAATTCTTACCTTCTGCATTTTCCATACATGTCATGAACGTTTCATTTTCATCGCGTACCGCACAGAGCCCATTATCGGCCTTGGTATGTGAGTCAATAAAGCCCTTCTTAAATGTTTATATGCACTCTCTGTTCCGCCTGCATGCTATAAAGAAGGCATAGAGAAAATATCTTTGTAAGCCCTTCAGAAATATAGACGTGAAGAAATAGCACGAAATAAAGCGTTGTCAACTAGGTGACTAGAGGCTTGATGTATGTAGCAATATGCACGATGAGCATGTAATAAGTAGTTTTCTGGCTCGCTGTCCATTTCCTGCTGTCTGCTGCTGTCCAGGTCAAGCGCCGTAAAGATCAATGATGCATCGTTCTGCTTAAATCGTTTATTTGGTAGCGCTCGGCGATGAAGCATTTTGTCAAGTTGTATAATGGAATATTATCGCCGCATGGTCAATAGAATGATAGGATCTAAATGACACTATTATGGTGCTATGGATGCCTTAATGGCATTGAAACAGTCTCCCAGAAATATTCTGCAGACCTGAGATGCGCGTAGCTCAGAAACTAGCTAGGTTTTGATCTTAAGAAGGGCAGGGCTGAAACTGTGCCGGATGATCTTCAAGGTGGCTATTTCAGTTTAAAAACCCATGCAAATGCAAAACACTTCCTTTCAAGTAATTTCACATGCATCAAGGTTAAACAGATATGTCTTGATATGTGCCTACTCACATTAGGTCTCGGTCTACACGTCATGGTTAATTGCTAGCATCCTGCACCATAATTGATCAGACTATGACTCGCTTAATGCGGAGCGAGTCGGTTATCAACAGCGTGCCATGGGCTACCGGCTATTAAGTGCTGCATGCTAGGAGACTGGTCAAGGTGTTCAAAGGTGTGACCATATTGGAGTGGAGAATCTTGCTTTAAAATACAGAAATATTTGTATTGTTGCGCAATGGGTATTGGAATATTCGATACATGCTAACATAACATTGCACTTGTACCTGCAGAGTTGTCATCACTTGCAAGATAGGCCAGGCAGTAATCACATCAATCCAGCACTATTACACAGTAGATTCGTTCATTGAAAAATGAATAGCAATTTAAGATATGGACATGTCTGTTAGGATGTTACTGTACGCGCACACATGTCAAGATATCTAGCTGATGGGATGTTTCGGCCTTCACTTTTTAAAGCAAGTCATCTGATGTAAAGCACCGCTGAGTTTCTGGCGTAACTCGGCGTACTTGAAATTACAAGATACTGTGCTTTCTGGATCAAGAACATTAATATGTGGACACTATTTGTGGAATGCGCTGATGGCCTGCCCACCAAATGCTCCACTCTCACTCGGCGTGTGTTTCTCATTGGGTCTGAAACGTTTCATTTTGACCAAATTGTATTTACATTTAATACTTGTGTTTCATTAATCCAAAAGTCCAGCCATTACCAGCAAATATTACCCTAAGTGGGTGATATTTGTGGTATATTTAACTTTTATCTTAGTTTTTAATGATATTCCAGTAATAAGATGGGAAGGACAAACCAACCTTTATTGGTTAATATCAACTTTATGTGTGTGTGTGGGAGGGTGTGTGTGCACATAAAATTATAATGCACGCAAAAGCAAAAAAACGTAAAACATGCACATAGAAATAGAATACGCCGTGGATGTGGGGACATATTGGTTTGTGGGGACATGCCGTGTTCCCACAAACTGATTGAAAAATAAATCGCACTAGAGGGCCCTTTTATGATGTTAGCTCGAGCGCCGGTCGATTTCTTTCACGGGTGCACGTTTTCTATGTCCCCCCACCCCACCACTATTACATTTGGGGTATGCATACTCGGAGTATGGTAGTGGGCCGAGCCAACTGCGGTTCGGCAAGTTCCCGGATGTCGAATGTACCCGTCGAATGTAAGAAGCAGCGTCTGGGTTCGTGGTTTGGGCTCCTGACGGGTCGATACCCTTGATGATACCGGGCCCATGACTTGTTCAGCGAACTTGACTGTGTTGATATTCTTGTGGACGTCGATGGCCGTATCTAACACTTGGCAATGTCTAGACATATAATGGCACGTGACACTGATACACGTCAGTGTCGCGTCTTGTCGTTTAGAGTCCCCGATTGCAGCAAGTCCCTGACCCTGGCGATGTCGATGCTGGGACCCACGGCCGTTTCTGGGGCCCCGTCCGTGTCGATTCTTGACACTGCTAATGCTGTGGCCGTGAGTGTCCATGTTGGGCCATTAGACAAGACGAACCCCTGACTGCGTCAGGCAACGCAGTGACAGTGATGATTATTGTCGGTGTCGCGCACGTTACTGTCCCCGGCCACGAAAGAGAAAAGGTGGCAGTAGTTGCCCTTTGTTGTCTTCAGTTAACAACCCGAGGCCCCGTGCGGTGCGACACGAGCGTAACCACCCGCACCTCAGGACTCGGGC